TCGATTTCAAGTACAGCTAAAGAGATAGTTTATCATATCTTAAATTTAATAATCAAAGTATTATCGAAAAGTTTACCCAATTTAAAGATCCCAGTGCTACGAAAATCACTCTTTGGACGCCAAGAGCTTAGAGATTCAGATTATACTATGACATGTCACGGTAATTGTTCGCTACGCACAGCTTTGATACACCTTTAAGGGCATAGCATCGCTCAGCGTGTTCCACCTACGACATGTTCCACGAGGCCTCTTGCCGATGTGTGGTCAATATTACTGATATGGGGTTAACATGCCAAAGTGGAAAGAAACATTTGCCACTGATGTTATATCTACGGCCGCAACAGTACTAAACTGCACGAATGATGATTATGGTACGTGCCGTTGTGAAATTATATATACCCAATGCTTGTACCTTTATCCACGAGTAATGAGCCAATTCACAACCTGTCTAGCCAAACAAGGTATTTAACATATTATTGAAAGAACTGGACATAGGACAATACCATATGCTGCAATGAAGTTACCGTGTCTTGATATAATACATGTACACGGGTGCATTCATTGTACGTAAACGAGACCAACTAATTAAAGATAAGCGCTGGATGAGACGCGGGGATGTCCGAGATTCACCGCGCAGGGTGCGAGCTGAGAAGCCGGTGAAAAGCGTATTTGGCCCGTCTGACGTAAGACCGTGCCCGCCACGTATCTCGGCGACATCGAATATGCACCCAACGAGCGACATTCGGCTGTGCTACACGCTGGGAAATTCAAACCAAGCAGTAAAAGGTTTCTGTAAAAGTAGCAATCTCTCCACGAGATAACAAAACTGAGGGATTTGTTGCAAAGGTGTAAAGAGATCAAACAATGGACATGCATCACTTTCTGCCAGAAAAATTTATTCTTATGCATCTGTTGCATGAAAAAAGTCAAATTTATATCATCTCGCGGGGTTGTAAATTGTAATAATGAGAAAGAGTAGAAATAGTATTCATAAATACCATGACCATATGTTTTCTCTGATCACACCGAAAAAGGTTTTTTTAATGATCGAAGGTTTTTTCTAAAGTGGACAAGAGTGATCACTGTACCTCATGAAAAAATCTGTAATCACAACAAACCCCCACATGGCATCCGTTTGAAACATTCACAAACAACGGTCAAAGTGACTTTCAAAAGACACCAAATCTACAGACTACACTCCAGCATTTCCTGAAAATACTAATATCCTTTGTCCTTAAAGGCAAATTGCGGAACACAACTAACACCTGATGCCATTTCGTTCCACTTCAGAATCTCATTTGAGCCTCCTTGTATGAAAAAAACCCAAAACTCCAACAAATTTGCGACCCACAGTTCCTTACGATTGGCTCCGCCTCCAGATAAAACCAAAGCACAGTGGAATCGTGTCCCCGTGCATGCTCTAGAGATAAACTACGTGCACACGGCGAGGCTACGAAACAATACACGTCTGGAATTCTAAAGCTAAATACGCTATTAATGAAGGAGAATTCCATCAGACCAATACAAATACTTCATAATCGTAGACTTACTTTCCATGGATTATTATTATAATTATTACCATTATTATTCAAACAGCTACAAGGAGTTTGCATTTTTACTGAAATGAAATAGGCTACATGTAAAGGTTTTGTAGGACCACTTGAAATTCTGCAGGTAGAGTGATAGCCGTTAATCATTATAATATTCCCAAACAAGACAACACCTGCCAGAATGTATGATATTGCGGCACATCCACACCGCACTACCATAAACAAAGTAGTCGATACTTTAAACAAAGAATTACATCGCATTTCGTATTAGTTCCAAAGTAATCGGCTTTCTATCAATGAAACAAAAACGTGTTATATGCCGTTCTCTGATACCGATATGAATAGTACTGTCGATGCATACGTTAATAATTTAGAAATAAGTCAAGTAAGTTCCTTCAAATTTCTTGGTGTTATTGATAAAGGTCTTAACTGGAAACTGCAGTACCAGCAGATCCACATGTCAGTTTCACGTATACTAGGGATTTTGCGCAAGTTGAAGTACATACTGCCAACAAATGCACTACTTTCTATTTATAATACCCTAGCTTTGGCCCGTCCTCAGTACGGATTGTTAGTTTGGGGAGACTCTCCGTTAACCTCTATGAATAAATGATTACTGTTACAAAAAAAATCGCTGCAGGTTATTACAAAATCTGGTCCTAGAGACCATACCGAACCGCTATTCCAGAAGCTGAACACCCTATCAATTTTCAACGTATACAAATATCATCTGGGTATCCTAATATTAAATTTGACAACAATCTTTATATCTTTAATTAATAATGAAGCAGTCATATTCAGATTTGTGTTCACTTCCTGAGATGTTATGACAATCAAAATCTTTGCTTAATTCTCTCGTTCAGCTGTACCGTCAGTTATCTTTACTTTCTTAAATTATCTCTCTCTCCTTCATCTTGTAATTACAGATGCATATGAATATTATTGTGACAAATAAGGAACCACGCAGGCCATGAACAAGCCTTTGCTTTCTGTCTGGCATCTGCCATTCATCATCTCCTATTCATTCTGTAATAACATTGTTTCTTTATGTTCTAATTGTGACGTATTGAAATAAACCAACCAACCACAATCACGCAACTAGAAATCATGACTGCATAATCTTTTACCGAGGCGCGTTCCAACTCTGGCGGTAAATTGAGCGGGTTCTAGAAAGTAGTGCATAACTCACCAGGCACCTGTTTTCCATTCTCCATAGATCAGCCAATTAATAATTGTCGTCGAATGCAGGATTGGGCTTTTCATTGCTTATAGAAAATGAACAGCTTCATATTTTGACTGAGTTCACGTTTATGACGCTAAAAAGGCAGGCCATTCCCTGCAATGTTAAAGGTGACCAAGACGCTCAATTTCTACTAAAATTGCTTCTGTCCTCACCAACGTGTTTTCTCTGAGCCATTCTTACTCTTAAGGCTGCTGCTGTTTCCATTTTTCAGGAACTGATCAACTTGAATGACAGCCAATTTTGTTTAAATACCCAAAGCTTCTCCATCCAGAGCAACGATGTCCTTACCGAGCAGTTCAAGGAGTATGTGACTACATATATATTTTACGATCGAGTTTGATAAAGAATCAATACGTTGGTGACACAAGGATTCTCTGAGGTAGGTAGACACGAACCTCACTGGTGGTTCGTGTCTTATTCCATCAACAGCACCCTCCCCCATGATTTTTAACAAAAGATGTAATTTGCCTTCTCTCAATTAACAGTCACGGCTCCTGAGACATAAAGATTTTTTTCTAGCCGAGAAAGGACAGAATGATCAGCTCACCTTCCCGTTCAACACACAATACGACGACAGACACAGACATGGTTTAAGCGCGACAAGTCATCTCGCTTCACGTCTCTTCACACCCGCGTCTGCATTTGGCTGTAGTCTAGTCAGCCTCGGGCTACGCCGACCGTGTTTGGGACGCGTAGACAGCGTCCCCAGCACTGGCCCGTGTTGTGTACAGAAATATTCTGCGCGAGGTGGCAATCTTGTGTTGCGGACACCGATTGGCTGCTGCATGTCAGTAGCGTAGATGTGGTTGGCCGACGACATTCTCCCCAATACCTGAGAGTGTAACTCCTAAGTGTGTCCTTGCACTTTAAGTTTTCAGAGTGCAATGACATTAATTTATTGAAATGGTATATTGTCAGAATTTTGACCCAAATCACTGTAGCCCTTTGAAGAGAAAAAAAGTTCAGAAAACCATACACGCACCTCTTGCAATATCTGCATATAGGCCTACTCTGTTATCATTTTGTAATTTACTGACTTTTTAACACCCCTACCCCCAAAAAATCCACTTTAATGTAAATTTCAGCGTTTTCCCACTCCGATGGTACCTTAAATACACGATGTAGTGCAACATTACCAAACATCAGGTTGACGACGGGGCGTGACCTGCCTAGGGCTTCTCACGAATCCGTTCTCGATTGGAACAAACCTAAAGCTGTAATGTGTAATGCTTGCAAACTGTGACCGCCTTCAATTCATGTATACAGCCAATTCATGATGCCCTGATATATTGGATTCCAATGTCTTTCCGCAGGGGTCTGGTTCGTCAGGGTTGGCATGCATCTGGCTAGGTGTTCGACATCTTGAGGCATCCACGCAGATGAAAATCATCCAAACATTTTATAAACAATATATATTGACGTGATTTTGCGACGATGAAACAATCGAGGTTTTGGTTCATACATCTTTACAAACATGATAGCGTCAAGCTTAGCCTCAGGTGACCGGCCAAATTCATTCCGCTCACAACATAATGACGGTTTTTTTTTATCCTGTACACACACCTTTTCTCAGAGCGAACATGTTGGAGAACAATTATCCACAGCCCTGTGTCATATCCAAGAGCGTGTCAAGGAGTACAAGGGTTGCAGAGTATTGCAAAGAGTATTCGAGTAAAGTAATCTGGAATGACAGTTCTACAAACCTGATATCGTGAGGCAATTCACGACGGAGCAGTACAAACGCTGGGGGTATAGACGATATTCTAACGACAAGGAGTTTGCCCGTCATCACAGGTGATAGGTACAGGTTTTTAACTTTGTTCCATGACTTATCACCATGTAAATATTTGGGAGGGTCACTGCATGTTGTCAGTGTCAATGGGAGACGTCGAAGAACATCTGAATACTGTTGCTTTGTGCAACAACAGGAAATCCGAGAGAAAAACATGAACCACCTCCGATGGGGAATTCCATACTCAACTAAATTAATAACTTTCGACTTCTTCCTATTTTAAGGAGAATGGTTTAGGATGTGCACTGCATTGGTTTCTGCATCTCTTCCTCTTTTAAAAGGAAGTGAATCTTTTTACGAGTGAATCTTCCATCAAATATCGACTTGTTCTTTGCAAACACTTTAATACGATAACCTAGAAACTCTGCAACCAGACCAACTTCCACATTCGTTTTCTAGATAAAAATGTACTCACCGGCCACTGAACTGGATTTCCGAATGTCGTCCGGTACATGTATCATCGTAAAATTGAGTTTTCCTGTACTTCTAATTTGAGCATATCAACCAGGACAGCTTTATCTGATTCGCCTGCATTAAAAAGAAAACGTGGCAACAGACAAGGCCTGAAAACAGGGTAAGGTTATAAAATGACGATATTACCTGTGACACTTGCTCACTCTCGGACTATCATTCATACTGATAAGTAACGTGAGAATATCTAGTCTGGCGGCTATCTGGTACGGTGCCGCTCAATATGCAGTTCCATGTAATGAGCGCCCTCTTTGAATCCACGCAGTCACTAGATGTTTATGCAGGTAATAGGCCTATAATTTGTTTTGAATCCCTTTGAAAAACACAAAGAGAGGGTAGGGGGCGCTGTTAAATCGACAGACAGGCAGGACAAAAGCATCAGTGTCTAAGGAATTGGCAACAGCCTATAAAATGAGTTTATATTTTGGTCAAGAAATAATCTTGCTACAAAAGGGTACCACCCACTTTCCAACTCGACAGAGAAGAAACACCAGACAAATCCCCGTACCGTGGCAACCAGGTGGTGACTTGCCATTGTTTGCATTGTTGTCTGAGCAGTTGCCATGGCAATCCAAACATCTGATGAGACTTAAAATAGTGTGGGAGGCAGTCGACGATTGCCACTTTGTTGCGCGATATTAAATCAACCACAGTGCGTTCGCACCTATCTGATAGCTTACCGCTGGGTAACTTAAACCACCTCCTTCTGCATTTTTTACATCTCCAAAACGAAGGACGTCATCATGGATGGCTACTTCGCCACGTACTACGTGAGTTATTCCTTATTTTGTGAAATTTATCCTGCCTGTTATTTGTTAGTAATCCCAACTAAGAAATCAACATAGGTTTTTCGTGATTGCGTGCGCAGTTCGAATATTATTTAGCTGTGATCTATTTCAGATGAAACAATACTGTGCAAATATTTGCAAACAATTTCTTAAAAGGATCTTTAAAAAAAAACATTCGTCCCTTCCACTGTACTGTTGGAAGCAAAATATTTTGATCACTGTTGGTACGTGTAAATAGCACACGAATAATTACACGAAGCACATCGACGCTAGGGTGTAGAAATTATTATTTTGGCAGTAAACTGTAGGCAGTGATGAATTATGGTTCGACGGGTAATATCCATGGCTAGTTAAGCGTAACATAACACACAAACGCAAAGACAAGCATGCTACAAGATAAGAGTGTTTGATGTTGCATAGAGAAGAGCAACGCTTGATCAAAACCTTTCGTCGGGTTGATGAAGAACACTACTCTCGACCCGAGGTCTCTAGTAGATTCTGTAGCTCCATTCTCTTTGGGTTGAGGTTGGGGAAGATCTAAACTCAAGTTGTTGTTGTTTTTTTTTGGGGGGGTGTTTGTTTGTTTGTTTGTTTGTTTGTTTGTTTGTTTGTTGGGGTGTTTGTTTGTTTGTTTGTTTGTTTGTTTGTTTTCTAAATCTAGTTTGGAAGAGGGGTATATTTAATGCTTCTGCAGCAGTTTATTCATATTAGCAAGGACGTTCATCAGATGAGTCGCCTTTACGATATTTAAATAACAAATGACCAATACAAAGGAAGGTGGTCTAGAAGATACAGATAATTTCCCCCTTCTACTAAGTTTAAACTAAAATATTTAAGCTAAAATAACCACACTTTTAAATTGGACTGTGATAAATTCAAGGTTTAGTATACCACAATGAATTATTGTAATTACACACCAACATCATGTATGATTTCGGCTGTGCAGCTATTGAACCAATGCTAATACCAATAACACAACGAAGACAATGGTCGGCAATCCAATGGCATGGGACGACGAGTTATTGATTTGTAACACACGGAGCACGTTTAATAAGAGAGCTGTATCTGTCTTTCGCCATGCTCCGTGATACTATCTGCAGTTGTTATCGATAATTTTCATCGAGTGTGCAAGATTATTTTATTGCAACGTCCAATGGTCAAGACATGCGGTCCAAGAGTTTATTTTCCCCTAATCCGATTCAAAGGGCCAACTCTTGACACGACACTCTCTCTTCGTAAAGGCGCGAATAGCAGGGTTCTGTTTCCTGTAGTAAAATACACTTTTGTCATGTCAAGGAAATGATAAATTAAGCTGAGAGCACTGAAGCGTAACAGTCAACACGATAACTAATCCCATATTTGGTATGGCAGAACGAAAAACATCGCAAAGATAACCGATTTTGGATACAGACAATTCCTATACTAGGTAGTAAAAGACCGAACAAGCACATCTCAAAATAGAGAAAGGGATAATGCAACTGTTCTGTTAAATTTGCTTTGGAAAAGGTCTCTTCTCGCAGATATTTAACATCCAGTAAGTAAGTATACCAGCATTAAAATGGCCAAAATCTGGTTGATTTTCCCGTCACGTACAAAAGAAATTTAAAAAAAATAATGAGTCACATTCGATACTGGTATAGCAGTTTCGTCATTTGATAATTTCCTTTTGACAAAATATTCTTAGTCCTCGATCCAAGTACGGACGCCATAACCGTTAAAAATGCATAATCATACAAACAAGCTGGATGCATCACCATGGTAACAGCAAATTGCTCGTGAGGATAATTAGACGCTGTATTAAATTTTTCATGAAAATAATCTTGTCACAATAGACGTGGCAGTGGCAACTACGCATTTGGCCTCGCTGAACGACCTGCCTCATTTTCCCAATGCCAAGCTAATGTAGAGATAAATGAGTCAGAACTGCAGAGGAATTCCATCGCATGTTACTCAGCTGGTAAAAACGGTGAAGGCAATATGCAAGTTTCTGTCACGTTATTTTGATATAAAAGTATGTATATGTAACAATAAATGAATATGAAACTCTGAAGTATCATTTTATCACGCAATGTTATTACCTGGTACACAGAAGTTTGTCTTCGTGTTGCTAGATAAACTACAAATGTGCCTTCGTTCAAACAGTAGCGTTTGACCACATTGACAACATAAATTTAAAAAATACATGCAATCCTATAATCCAACACATTGAACCAGCACTCAGATACTGAAACAAGTCTCCAGATTTAAGCCACTTTCCTTCACGACCATCCCAACAGCTGTACTTTGGAAACTGCAATAAATTTTCTTGCTCAGGGGCACACACTATAGTGATCCTATAGCCAATTCCGGTGGCCATGGTCACACCATCACTAGTTCAGTGCAGTGGCCCCTTTAATGGCAACGAACATTGTGACGGTTTTTATGCAGAGCCACTGTTCTGTGACAGTCGCCCCTCACAAACCTAACACAATGTAAGCGGCATTTATGGAGGCCATCAGGAGTGATCAGTGAAACGTCACTAGATTATGGACCTTGATCATGATACTGCCATGTTTGTCTTGACCCCTGTATATCCACTGGCAGTAGTAATACAACTTACCGTATTTATAAATGGGAACAGACTATTTCTCCTTCCAGCCTCAGTCCATATGATGCAAGATATGGGGCGGAGAGAATCCCACCCCCTTTGTGTTGGTCATTGTTTGATCAGAATCTCAGGAATTCTTTACAGACTTCTGGGGGGATGTGTTAGGTAACAAGAGTCTAGAGTGTGTATAGGGCCCGGATTGGACATTTTTGGGGGGTACCCTCAATTTGGTTACATTGCTTTGAATGGCAGAAAAAGAGATGGTTGCCCAATGACGGTGGTCTATAGCCAGAACCGACGTAATTCTGAACGGAAATGCCAGGATACAAATCGAGTCCAACACAACACTGAGTACTCCATCTTACGTATGCAGCGGAACACTGTTATAACAAAGTTCTTGGGACTTTACCTCTTTATAATTTGTACTTTGCATTGTTCAGTAATAAAAAAGAAAAACAAAGACATGGTACCCTCGTTGTAAACATAACTTTGTATTATTAGTGCTCTTGTATATGATGGGCATACAAGGCTTTTTTCAATCAGCAGTAATTTAGTAAAATCCAGCCCTGGTTTTCCCATTGGAAATTTTGAACCCTGATCCCGAGGCATAGATCGAGTTGTAAATCTGGAGGCCGTGTCATGTGCTTTGCTACGCTGTACTTTACAAAGTATTTGGAATACGTTTCATTGCTCGGGATATTTAAGTGACCAATTGTTATCGATCCGTAATTCCTCTGCAGACTAATCCCGATGAAATGATAGGGGCAAGCAGGCCAAAACAGAACTACGCCATGCACAGGCAACTCTTAAGCTTCAAAGCCGGAGTGCGGCGAGTTGACAGCTTTTCTGTCGAACGACTCTACCGGCACCTCCAGGCAGTCATCCCACAAAACCTCACCGTGAATTCCCTCGGGGCCCTCCGTGACGTCATAAAGAGTATCCCACCATCACCTCAAAGGCACAAAAGCAAGATGTTCTTCAAGATGTTCTTCGAGTACATAGAGGACCTACGCCGACTGGCTTGGACCTTCAAAGACAGAATCTACACTGTGCTGTATGAGTTCTTTTATGACAGCTCGTTCATACGTCTCCGAGACCTGCAGGTCAAGACAGGGGGTCTGGTCAAGGGGCAAGGCCAAGGACTGTCACCAGACTTGATCAAGGAGGTTGGGGAATTGTGCCGACAGCTCTCGCTTGATGTGGACAGTCTGGAAGAGAATGTCAACAACTGGGAGGAGCTTCTTGGAGAGTCTGAAATCGACCCGACTCTATTCGACGAAACGTCGGCATACCGCATTTGTCAGTTCAAGGACTGCAACCGATTCGAGAACATTCTAAGGTTGGTTCCAGACGTGCTGAATAAGAGCGAAATGTCGGTGGATCTGGCTAGAGATTGGTGGTGCAAAGCCGAGCACATTCGACAAAAGTTGGCCGGGAACCCTGCATCCGACAGTGGGATGTCATCTTCATCGGAGATGGATGCCCCATCGGTAATGTCCAAGGCTTCGCAAAAGAGCACACGACAGGTCGCCAAGAACAACCCAGTGCCGAAACAGCCCGTTGACGTTCGAAAGAAGGTAAAAAGTCTCGCAGACATGGACAAGGAGCGAACCTCATACGTCAATAAACCAGCACCTGCACTAGAACCTGGAAATCATGGGAGAAGCAACATGTCTAAGTCCGTAGACAGATCAGGAGGTAGCAAGAAAAATGCCAAGCCGGAGGCTACACGAGAAACCGGCGTAGAAGGCCAACACGAAAATGGCAAATCGTTTGCAAAAAGGCAGCCCGATAATTCCAACGATCGATCGCCTCTGAAAAGGAGTACCAACCAAAAATTGAGAAAAGCTAAGGCCGAGTCTAAATCAGACGATTTTGAAACTGCGGGAGGGGAAAATCAAGTGGGGGTGGCGCAAAAAAGTCAGGCAAGTGAATCCAAAATGACCAAGAACACGACAGACAAGGCCAGAGTTAGAAATCGAGGAGGTGAGGTACAGAGAAGGAATGACTCTCAACAACATACATACCAGGCAGATGGTGAAGACGAGGCAGCAGAGGACAACAGCGGAGGGCAAACCGATGAAGAAGATGCTGCAAAAAGGGCTAGTTTACCAGACCTACAGCCTCAACCAAGGGGCAAGAAAATGAGGGATCAAGATGTCAATAAGAACCAGGAAAGCACGTCTCCGATTAAAAATGAAAACGGCAAGATGCCTTCGATTCACAACGATGGCGACGCCAAAGTAAGGCCCAAAGCACCTGCCCAAGCCAGATCAACCAACGCCAAAACGGCCCAAGAAAAGTATCAAGAGCAACCCATTCCCCGCAATACGAAAGAAGCCCTGGTATCAATGCAGGGCACAGAGGATAGCATGGAGACTCTAACCCTGGAGCATGACTTGGAACGCCAGGAACAAGAGTCGCGGGGGTCCGGACCGCTTTCCTGGCAGGAGAAAAAACTGGAGAAGCTTTGCCAGAAGTTGGAGGAGCTCATCGAGAGCAAGGAGACCCAGCAGGCTGCTCTCAAGCTCCTGACTGTCATGAAAGACAATGTGGCCAGAGAGGTGACCAAGTACCGGGGTAGCCACCGCCTGAAACGGAGGCTGCAAGCCAGGGTAGCCCTGCTGACAGAAAAAGCGCATGGGTGGAAAGAAGAAACAAAGAGTCTGGATTATCAGCACCGGCTCCTGTCAGAGGACCTCAGACTGGAAATGAAGCTGAATGGATCTTTCTACAGGTAAGCATACTTAGTACAAACAAAAAGTTAGTCGGACAAAATCCTGATTTAATATCCTCGTCCTTGGCGCACAAGTAACAGCACACAAGCCTGAATCGGTGGAATATTCTGCTTGAACGTTTCAACGAAAAAAGCTGCATATTCATCACAAATCTAGCACTTACGACTTGTATTAGCAGTATCAATGTGTTTCTAAAATTATAGAAAGGAATTTGTAAAGCATTACCCCATCGAATAATAATAATAACTGATTGATTGATATTTGAGAGGATATTTGCCTCGCCTCGAGTTCCTCGCATAACATGCTTGTGTATATCTAAAGTTTGTTGTTAAGCAAATTTCTCGGTCCTGGGAATTTTTGAGGTAGTGCAAATCTCACTTTAAAACACCGGAACATTGTCTTTTACCTCTTCAATTTTCAGACAGAAAAGACGGAAATCGCTGAAGGAAAGGATCGCCTACCTCAACGAAATTGTCCGGAGCGAACGACTCGGGATGGAGGAGCTTCTCCATGAGTTGGGAAAATTGAAAGACGTCACAGACCAGTTGATGTACTACGGCTTTCCCTTCGAACCCTACTTCGGTGAATTCGAGATGGAGTTCGGAAGGCTCGGTGGATACATACCAGACTACTGGTACAAACATGGAGCCTTGGGTGGAAGTCTCCAACCGAATAAGGTTGCCAAATTTCTTCGCGATGAAGAGCTGCTTCTCGGCAGAAGCCTCCAGAGTAGGTACGAGAGGTCCATCTGGGACGCCCTGAAGAGGGAGAGTGTAGACAGCATGCCACTGCTGAGTCCTGAGGACAGTTTTAGTTTTCCCTCTCTAGCCCTTGAGGAGAGCATGGACGTGGCTGCCAGAGGAAGCCGAGGTAGGAAGGAGCAAGGGCAGGGTTACCAAGGAGATGACGACTACTCCTCCGATTCTGACGGTGGCGACGATGAGAGGTCCGGTGACAAGAAGCAACAACCCCAGATGTACGATCTTAAGCGGGACGAAAAGCAGCCACCATCGTTCGTACCGATCTAGATAAAACCCACGCTTTTTCAAGATATTGTGATGTCACCCAATATTAACTACGCCAAACTCGCGCAGTTAAAACAGCGGTCGTGGGAAAAACGTTTCGAATTTGTTGCCATTAATTTTAAATTGAACATCAAAATTAATTAAGCCACATTGAATATATTAGCCAAACTAATACAAAATGACGTTTAAGTGAAGTTGCAAAGGAGAAAATATGATAAAATGGAATGAATAATCCACTATTCAATCACTCTCACTTTATTTCCACACGCGACAAAATATTGGGCATACATGTATAGTGTATAGCAGAAGAAAATATATAAATAATACATTATGTGGAGGATCCCACAGAAGCAAACTTTCCGAACATGACATACCCCTAGAAAAAAAAGCTATTTTTGAAAACATATCAGCAGGGTGAAAGTTTCGATGCATTACACATACATCTTTTTTTTATGATTTCAAGAGACACTACAACAGTATATATGCAGATTTGTTCACTTTGTCAAACTTGTCAGCACAAGATTTGTTTATTTCGACATGACCATCAAACATGTTAATGTTTATTATCCTTTAAGAAAAAAAATACTATTTAACACGATCATTTCAAATTATTAATATTTCCTCAGCAGTTTTGTAGGGTAGATTTATACAATTTTGTAATTTCACACATGAAAAAAGAGTTGTAAAAGTTTGCCGACTGAAAAGAAGAGATGAAAAATCGTTTCTCTTGAGAGAAGCCTTCGAAAAAGTGGACTTGTGGGTTAATTGAAATGCATAAGTATGTATATTGTGATGAACGCATTCACGCAATTTTAAAATTATCTCTTTGACAGTAGTCTACTGAACTTCAAGGTTTATTCTGGTCACTCTTTTAAAAATTTCAAATTTTAAGATAAGCTATTCCAACGCAGTTCACGGAATTATGACTTGCTTGTACATTGCGATGCACCCTTTCCGGATCGTAGTCTCGAGAGTACGTAAAAGCTCTTGCATTTTCGTCCAAGTATAAATTGTGTTTCGCGAAAGACAATCAAGAAAAGCCAGTGATATATCGTATAATACATTCATATATACCGCGCTTTAATGTAAATGTGCCTTTTGCCAAAGCGACTTATCTACATACGAAAATGTGACCCGTTTATACAAAACAAGGACAAAGTGGCACTGAATAAAATATTTATACAGTTTTATTGGATTGGACAGCGAAATCCCTTCTCTTGGGATTAACGCTACAACTAAAAGGTACAAAAATTTTATTTTATTTTATTTTCCAGCTATTTTGTCAGGATTTCGTGGCAACGTCACAAATCAGTCAAGACATTTTCGGCAGTTATGCGAAAAGAACATCCCAGATTTTAGAGAATTGTCCCAGAAACTTTAAGTAACAATGATTTTTAACTGTCATCATCTTTCTTGCTAGATCTTTTTTCCCCAAAAATCATTGGAGTGCCTTAAAATAGGAGTAAATTTGTGATTTTCAGATTTATCTTGAATTACAGAGTTTGGGGGAAAATGTAGCACCCAAATTCATTTTGTAGTTAGACTGAATGAACAGCACCATGATAAAGGCTCGAATTTACGACTCTTTATTCTATAACATTTTGTCATATTAATGTACTTCATATTAAACAAAGATTAAGGAAGACAAAACAAATTCTACGCGGTGCCAGGTATACAAGTACGCCGATTCTAACGGCTACATGTTACAGCTATATTTCTGCTTTTGCTTAGTATCATTTTCAGTCCATGCCTCCTGTATTTAACCTTAAACTAATTCTGAGAAACATGATTTGGAAGTACTGTCCCAATTGACAATGAACAGCCATCGTTGAATATTTTATCCCTACTAATCAACACTCAAGCAGGTGCAGTCACGCATCAAAACATGGGCTCGAAAAGAACCATTTTCTTCCGTTTGGGGTGCATTCTTCACAATTAAAGAGAAACTTTTGCTCGCACAGACATCCAAATTGTCATGTCCCACTCTAAAAGAAGCAAGAGAGCAAAAACAACCGACAAAAGAAATGCACGCCACAGTTTAGATCTTTTCATGACAGGTTTTTCCCTTACCCGACATAAAGTACATCTTGAAAAAGTTCAGCTCCATACAGTAGACATTTTCCTGACTGTATGCATGACGGGTACAGATTTGAGAAGCTGGACACTAGACATTCAGCAAAAATGACCACATAATTCTTTGGTGGCACGACTCTGGGCAGTGAAACGTATACCTCCATTGATTTGTTTGTTTTTTCCTTGTCATATTTGTCTCAAACTATTTGCTATTTGTTGCTAATAAATTCATCTCTAACACTAGGCTCTAATGGAAGAATTTGTCATCAAATTTATGGTGATTTTGTGATGTGTTATTCTTCGCATTACATTACCTACCCACGTGTAACATTCCTTCCCTCCCAACTGATGTCATTCTAGCTAAATCAGCCCAACTGAAAACAGTAGCCCAAGTTTTAACACCTCAACCTTTCAGCCAGAACTCTCCACGTTATCATATACCCTTACAACATTTGGATTATCGTTTAAGAGCGAAATCAGCAGAAATGTGTCCTCTAGGCTCTTATCATTTAACGCTATCGTGGTTTCTGGTAGGTATTCAAAAGAAGAGGATTCTACGGCATAATTTAAGGAAGCTAAATTGTTGCGGACTGTTCGGAGATCCCCCAAATCACAGATGAACTGAATGAGCAAAATAAAAGACAAAAACTAATGTCAAAATTAAAAAAACAAAGGAAAAACAGTAAAACAAAATAATACACACATAAGCACAAAAACACAAATTGAATAGTGAATTAAAGGGGGTGTTAGCCTCCCCCCCAAAAAGGGCAACTGTTTTCCTTTTATAAAACTTATTGATTCTGTAGAGTCAGTGATCTACAGATCAATTTCTTAACAGGGGCATGTAACCCCAAATTTAGTAGGATTGTGCATGTTCTTGGACAACACTTAATAAATTCAAGATTGATGCAGCATCCCAATTTTGTTAGAGTCAGAAAATAAGCACTTCTAGGCTTTAACATTTGAGCAGAAAAACAGTTGGCGAGGGGATCTGACTCTACGCTCACACGCTCTCTGGTAACACATGGTTGCTGCATTTTTATGCAGCCCTTGCCATTCATCGGCTGCTTTTACTATTCCTGTATTTTGCCTCAAAAACCCAAGCCCCCCTGGGTTCAAATCCAGGGGGGCTGCCAGGTAAATCCATGAACAAATATTCACCACACTCACCATGAACAGGGCAGTGTCGTCCTCGTTGCTTGTCTCCTGCACATCCTCGGCACCGACCTCGATGGCAACCTCCTCAGCAAGGTCAAGGGTCAACGGTTTCTCCTGACCTTCCATTTGTGGTAACACTTTGACCACGCCCTTCCTTGTGAAGGCATAGAGACTGGTGCCAAAGTCTCCTCTGGAACGATTTGAAAACATAAAAGCAATGCACAAATATTTATACACTGGAATCTATTTCAAAGTTATTGTCCTTGTTTTGGATTTATTCTCCCAGCGAGGCAGGCTACAATGATCAGAAAAATGCTTCAATAGCAGCAACAAACATTCAGATTTTTGAAGTATGTATCTCTACAGGTATGTACCCATCAGCAATTTTTTGGTACTTCACGTTACATGATATAACTAACAGAACTAATGGTGCAAGATGGGTCCAATTTTAGAGTATGCAACTCCTGCAAAATAAACCAGTAGCAATTCAGATTTTTAGTGAGGGGGGGTTCAGCAAAAAAACTTCACCCATACCCCAAAAAATGGGGGCAGTACTATTTTCTAAAATGCCCAAACTAGCAATTCCTTTTAATAAAATTATCTGAAAGGTGAGTGGGGGGGGGAACACACTACTGGATACGCTACTGTGTAGAGTCTACAGGGATGAGATTGACCAATGATAAAAATAGCTGAAACAGCTGAAAAGGCATCAAGAAGCTGAACTCTTAAAATCTCCTTTGCTTTTGTACATAGCCAGTGAAGAAATAAAGCTAAAATCCAAAACAAAAAAAGCTGAAATCAGCTAAAAAAGCTGAGAAATCTCACCCCTAAGTCTATGACTGATAAATCGGCCTCACCCATTCTTTTGTAAGATTCGTTGTATCTCATTCCTCGTCCTTCTGGCATTGTCTGTCAAGACATCAATGAGAAGACATGACTGGCCTGGCCCTCGTGCCTCCAACAGCAGCTGTGTGTCTGCACTCTTAGCCTTCATACACAGTGGACACAGGATCAGAATCGGCCGCAGCCAAGGCAGTGTCCGAATTACTTGGCTATGGCTTGACATTGCGCATGATTCCATGGTGCTGGCTGCAGCCACTTCACACAGGACCATGTGTAAAGCCCTAACCAAATAGTTTGGACACTGCACAATTTCATAGAGCTGCATGGCACAGAATTCTGCTAAGCAGAGAAAATATTAGTCCAACTAAAGTAGGTTACCAGCTAAAATGAAAGGCAAAGTGTACTGATGGAGACTGGTTCTCAGTCATTTTGACTGAGTGACGGTTTATTTAGCCACTAGTAAAATGCAAACAAAGGCGTTGACAGATGCTTCTTAAATTTCATCATATACTGTAGACAGAAGCAGCAGAACAGTTTTCAAAGTGGGGGGGGGCATTTGTGAGACCATCAGGCACAGATCACTAAAGGACCTGCCAAAAGTAGGGGGCTATTACCCCCAAGTAACCCCCCACTTCTAGTGCCAGTGAGGTCTGTAGAGGCATGTTTAAGCAAAATGTCCCTGTCCATTTAGGCGGCTCTCCTACACACCATAATTAGGGAAATACTCCAAATCTTCAATACGTTGTTATGCTCTAATGTTCTTATGCATGCCGTTTGCACTGTACTTACAGGAGCTTTGAGAACCCCTTCTATTGTCGACTTTGGCATAGCTTTTGACTTGGCCTGGGATATTAAACCTGCCAGAGCAGAATTCAATTCAGGATTTGGTCCATTTTCTAAAGAGACAAAAAAAATATAAATTAAATAATTTGACATTTTTGAGGACTTGAAGAAAACAAACAAGGTAAATCAATGTAAGTTAGATGGATTTCCAAACAGTTAGCATTGTAAGTAGGGATGGATTGGTGGTTGGGTTGGCGTGGGTTGGTTTGAAGTTGGATGACCTTCACTTTGGAAGGCTGGGTAAAGAGGCTGGGTTTGGGGTAGGCTCGTTGTTGGGAGGTCCTGGAAGCTGCCTTTCCTTCAATTCTCTCAAGAATATGTTGGTCTTTTGTTTTTAAGTTTTGGGGTTTTGATTTCGTGTGGGTTTTTCCTTTGCTTCCTTCACACAGTCTGTTCATATATTAACAGTAAACAGGCCAATGAGTAGCATATGAAACAAGTGTCTTTGCATAATAAATAAACATACCTCTTATAGCAATCCTCATCTGCAGAATGAGTTTGTTGAAGACAATACTCCTTTGATCATCTTTAGGGCCCTTGATGTGCTTCACCTTGGACCATTTGTTATGCCCAGCCCAGACGGTGCTGCTCCCGTGGAAGAGCCTCATTGGTTGCGTTGAAATTCCACTGCCTGGCAGCCATCTACATGTAAGTTGGTGGCCAACACTGAGGAGTCTACAGTCAATGCTAGTGTCCAAACCTCTTTGGTGGAAGAGCATACTGGGCCATTTCATGTTCGCTTTACCTTGGTGTCGCTCTCTACACTTTGACAATTCCCTTTGATTGGACGTTGTAGCACACTGCTCGGTATTTAGGGTGGAATTAGCTATTTTAGAATTGACTGCAATATATTTACTTCTTGAAGCTAGTTCATCAAGCAGGTAGGATGGTTTAAAATGTTGGGGGTTGCGACTCTGTGTTGTAAAGTAAATGCATGTACGAACAAGTCGCTTAAGTTCCTTGCTAGGTGCGGAAAACCAAATACTGACTGCCATCTTCACAGTGCTGAAGGAATCTGCAAGTAAATGTACAAATTTGCAAGATGATAACATTACAATTGGGCAAACTATAATCTACATGATTGAGTCAGTTTCTGTCAATGCCGCCGTCATGTATGTTGAAAGTCTTAGACGACTACATAAAGGCCTACACTGTACAGTAAGTGTGCTTGCATGGTGCCCCATTCTGGAGAGCAGGTAGATATTCCTGTGCTTTCTGAGTGGACAGTCGCTTTGTACTTTCATTGTCACTGAACTTAAATTTAAAAACTGCCCTAGCCTAGAGCTGTCACGTCCGTGATTGCGCGCGCTCCGAGCAAGCAAAATCGATCAGCCATGTGTGCAATATTTTTGAGGACTGGTACTGGATGAATGGATTGAAGCCCAGCGGCCAGCCTAGTAATACTAGTACTACTAGCAGTGCTAGACCCATGACGAAGGGGTCTGGTCAAGGAGGAAGGAAAACAGAACCAGATCGAGTCTTTTCTACCTCCATCATGTCCATGTATGGAATAACTCAGATCTTTCGTCCATGACAATTTCCGACAATTATTTCAAGCCGACTCACATAACACTGTGGTATTCTGCTATCTCAGTCACTGGCTGCAAACTAAAGAATTAGAGACATGATAGACAAATTTCACAGCAAAAGTTCATGGAAATGTGCAGCATATTTACCCGTCCCATGTGAATGTGATGAAGGTTTCTGCTGATGCCATGTGATGCAGACGAGAGAAAAAACAGAAATTGTAATCAACCAATCAGCGCGTCGACACCAAAAGGCGGCGTTTTGTCTCTTGGTGGCGCTTTATAAAGTTACCGGATGTAAGATAAGAAACCGAAGGCGAAGTCGAGACATTGACAAAATAGGAGTAATTTTTATTCAGAATTTAAGGCCCAGGAAAGAATTTCCTTGCTTGCCAGCAACATTGTCACGAAGCTGGACGGTAAGTTAAGCCAAAAATACTATTTTTGTTAAAATTTTGTCGTTTTTTAAAGATAAAAGTCAATCATTACATGCACATCGTGCGTAGACATGATGGATGCATGGATCTGTCATCTGACCTGATCACGTGGGTAGTCACTAGTACAGTACTACGTGTATATAGCGCATATTACGGAATGTCTGCACGTGCTTATTATCATTATGCCTGCACATTGGGCTCACATCATCTGAACATTCCTGAAACCATCTCAGCTCTCTGGGGAGTATATTAGCCTGATGCTGCCATTTCGTCGCAAACGGCTAAACATTATCGTGTCTGCCCTCACAGGTACCCATTTACTCCTGAATGGAGAGAGGTAAAGTGACTTGCCCAAGGTCATAACATGCTGCTACCAGCTGGATGCGAACCCCCGACCCTATGATTGGAAACTACAAACCCTAACCACTTAGGCCTTAGGCCCCCCAAATGCCGACAATGGTGAAACAGTTCTTGAATTGTAATTAATATTTCTCAACATATCCTGCCCTCTCATGCATAGTCATTCCGCACCCCTCTGACCAGACTCCCATTCAAGATGGCAAACTGCAAGACGGCAGTCAGCATACTGCAGGAGCACTGTGCTCGGCAGGGCATGACACCCATCTATAACACCATCAGTCAGGAGGGCCTATCCCACCAACCTAAATTCACCATCAACTGTACAGCTGGACAAACAGTAGGCACAGGTAGGTCAAACTCAAGCTACGTTGGACCTTGCCAGTTGTTTAAACATTGCATCTGTCCATTGACTCCTGGTACGCAATGAGAGAAAGCCAGTTTGGAAAGAATTCCAAGTTCAAACGCCACTTGACATCCTGTGCACCAACCCTATGAGACTGGTCTGAAAAATTCCACAAGTATTTTCTGCCGGCAAGCACAGGGCTTACATGTACATGTACCTCAATATCTTCCTTGGTAAATTCAACATTTTAGATCATGTTATTGCTCTCAGATGGCTAATAGATACATTTAGGGGAAAATAAGTACCCCTCGTATCAAGAAATCTTTCTGCCATTTTGTCCAGTATCCAGTTCATACACTTGATGGAAAGGTATTTAATGTCTCTCATTTTAAAGTTCATATAAGTAGCTATCAAAACATCACAAAGTAAATATTTATCTTAATTTTCCAATGTTTTGAAGTTTACCTCATGGACGGTGGAGATAGCGTTGATGTGAGTTTGTCGCTCATCTTTTTCCTTCACAGGAGAAGGAGTGAGCAAGAAGAGCGCCAAGCAAGCCGCCGCTGAGGCCGTCTTGCAACAGTGGGAAGTGGAGATCCCCAAACTAGACAGTGTCAAAGCGGAAACGTAGGTCTTTTGCCCCCCTCCCCCGCCAGACCCCTTCTAAGCCTCGCTTCCCAGTTACTGGTGGGATGGTGTTCCTTAGTCCCTACCTTACTTTTGCTGAAGAACCTTCCTGAGTCCATCAGACAGGATGCCCTCTGCATGAAAGTCATCAATTCAATCTACATGTTAAAATATATCCTAATTTTTTTCTGATGATCAAGAATTTAATAATAAACAAGATAAATAGTATTGTTTGGTGTTTAAAGCAAAATTACTTATGTCAATACAGAACTCTGGACATCTGTTTTGCAGTCTTGTAACTTCTCCTAAATATTCACTGTATTCTCAATTATTGGAGATGAACACCATTTGTGAGTAAAAACCTTGATTTCTCCTAATTGTAAATTTTTATTTCCTCCCTTCTGTTCATGCATCAAGGGTTGATCCTCCCAACCCTGTGGGACAGCTTCAAGAGCTAGTCACATTCCTCGGTTGGAGGCGGCCGGAATATGATGAGATTGAAGAAACAGGACCCCCACATGACAGAAGCTTTGTAATTGGAGTCACCGTGGGAAAGTTCAAAGAGCAAGGTTGACTATTTTGTTGTTGACTTATACTGTACATCCTGTTTATAGATATGAAGGTACTGGATAACGTTTGCCAAGTTTCCTGCTGATGTTTCAAAGTCTCTTCCACGTTCATAGTTTGTAATCTAATTTTTTCCTTGGCCCCTGTGTCCACAGGAACAGACAAAAGTAAACGTCTTGCCAAGCGCACAGCCGCCAAGGCTATGCTGGAAAAAATCAAAGCCTTGCCACCAGATACAGACCCAGGAATCGAACCCGGAACCACCAAGTCCAAGGTACAAGTGCTACAATTCTTGGTGTATGAGGATGCATTGTTCAGACTTGATGTTTACCTCCAGTTTCGGGCACTTGGACATGTCTTTTCTTCTTGGCAGGTCACGTGACAAAGATCATGTGAGCTGTTTGAGGTTGTTCATCAGCAATCCTTTAACCTGCCCCAACCAGATCCACCAAAATCCACCAAGAGGTTTCAACAGATTTTGCCATATTGAGGGAGGTAGAGCCCAGCCTCTGTTACTGGGCATAGAGCTTGATGCCCTTGAAAGTACAAAAACTGTGTCACCGATTCCATGCACATTGGAAGAATTTGAAGGATTTAGGAAGATTGTGAGCAAAGTTATTGAGGACTTAAGGTTAACAACCACTCATGTCCTAATTCCTGATCCCTGATTTGAGTCTCACTCCAGCTGTGCTTACTTGCTCAGAAACACACTCTTCAGTTCTCTTCCTCTCACTCAACTTCTGAATTGCAATCTTAAATTCCTTTTCTTTCCTTAGTGCAGCCTTACTCCAAAATTACTCTGATCACAAAAAAAATTACAATAAAGTTTCCTTAAAAATAGTGAGTGATGACAATTTAAATTGTATTGCCTTATTCGACAGAAGAAACAGGCTGCAGATGCACCAGCTGCCAAAGCAACTGGCTGCTCGCTGCAGTTCGCTGTCGGACAGAACATCGACAGACTCCGTAACAACCCTCTCAACTTCCCAGGTGGGTCCCATTTCTCTTGTACCTCTTCTGTGTTGGTACCCTATTTTTGAAACTTCCCTCTCTCTTCTTACGTAACCATAATCATGAGGATATGTGATGGTTATTCTTCTGAAAACTTCTTCTGAGGGAATATCTCATGACTCTGAACACCTGCAACGTTTCACTTAGAATGCTTCCCTGCTCCTATTGAAGGCTCTGGCAGTTGTCAGGCTTTATCCCTAAGGTGCCTGCACTAACTCCATTGCCCAGTTTCATGGCATTGCTAAGCACTTGGCTTTCCACTCACAGAGGCTTTGCATAGAACATGGAGAACGTAAGCAGCAAGCACAGCCAAAGGCATGCTAACTTCAGAGGAAAATTTGCTTAACTGAGCTAGAGAAGATGTACATTTAACAACAGAAAACTCTATGCATGTGCAACTGGTTAACAACAAGCCAGACCTGCCAACTGGTACGATTTAGCTGGGAAATTCTGGAACATACGATCGTACGTTTTCTCCCCCATAAAATATGGGTTTTGACGATATTGACACGCCTGAAAAAAAAATGTAGTTCAACGATTGCGAGTGCACATTATACTAGAAATATACAGCCTTGAACGTTTGCACATGTACAATGTACATGTACGTGAGTACAGGGTAAGCATGCACGTGTACGAGCCTCATGTGTAAACAGCATCCAGTAATCATCCGACGTTATTGGCTGCCCATGAAATGTCAATATTCATGTTGCATTAGTGGAACTCTTTAAAGCTGCTTGTGCGTCAATGGAAGTAGTGACAAACAGTCTCCAGTATTTTATGTAGCCCACGTTTCACGTCCTCCGTAAATATGCGGCTTGAAATAAAGTTACTAATTTTTCCGCTTTCACCGCAATAGAAGGCCTCGTGCCTGACAAGTGGTGCGGGGAAAAGGAAAGTGTGTTGTACATTATTGCACAGCTTTTACAGATTCCGTGTGCATCGTTTTTTATGAGATTTCAAACAATTTTAGGACATAGACTCATCAACGTGTCCATTACAACACCTGTGTATGGATTGTTTAAAGAGGGTCCCATTTGGATGCAATCTTTGACAAGACTGATCCTCAAGTTAAAAATCTGCAGAAATGAAAAAAGGAGGGAGGCATTTTACGGCCGGCCAGCGAGCAGGCGACAATTCAGCACCAGGAAATTCCAAAAGCCTGGATTAGCGATGTGCATTTCAAGATTTCACAATTTGAAAACGTGATCAATAAAGGGGGAATAGGGCCATATCCCTCTTCAACCTCGATAATGCATTTCTCATGTGATTATTTTTTGCGTTAAGAAGTGTTGCCGCAATCTTGTCCGGACTAGACCCAATCCAGACAAGTGGTCAAAACGCTCACGTGGAGGAATAGGCCTTTTCTCATTTTTGCAAAATACAATTTTTTAATGAAAAATACTACTTTTGAATTTTCAGAATACAGTTTTGTGATTCAAGAGGTTGGCAGGTCTGCCAATCACATCTATAAAATAGAGCTTGAGGCCAGCTAATATTTCTGCTACAGTAAGAACAACTTTTCTGCTATACTGTGAAGCAGCTCTGTGAAATTGGGCAGAGACCTTTCCCTTCCAGCTTGGAGTACCGCTCGGTTTGATATGGAACAGCTACTATCCTCACATGGAATAACATACTAATCCAGGACACTTCATTCCAACTGGAAACATGCAACAAAACTACTTGTTTCTGGCAGGGACAGGCAAAGTTCCAATGGAGGTCCTCCAAAAGAACCGGGACGTTTTAAGTTTCAGAACCACTCTGATACCTCCATGCACCTGCCAGTATTCCATTCATTTGTCATTTGTGTCTGCACTTTCATTTTGGTGTACATGTGTAGATGTGACGTATAGAGTACGCTCAAAAGCATTGCAGAAACCCAGCGAGTGCTACCTGTGTCGTGTTTGTCTGCTGTGTCGTCATTGTGTGGTATTAAGCATTCATTCTTCATTTTAGCATGGCCAGTGGTTTATGGGGCAAAAAAAAATCTATATGTATGCACTCACTGCTGTCCCTCATGTGAAGATAAATGTAACATCATACCAACAGGTTCATTTTCCATCAATTTGCTGAACGCTTTGACCATGGATCATGCTATTTTCTGCCGCCCCAGCCTTTCAGCCTTGATTACTTTTCTTCAAACTAAAATTTGTAGCTAGTCCAACAGAACAGCCAAAACAACCTACAGTGGACCTTTTTTCCCCTGTGGTCAGAAATGATTATTGTAAAGTACCTTGCTCAAGGGCACAACTATTTCCATCATCATGCAGGATTCACACTCACTGTTTGAAAGTGTTATCCCAGGATTAAGTAAATTTACCGTTGTTAGCACAGCTTTGCCAAAATGTTTTGCACAAAAAAAATTTCTGCAAGTCTGATGTCACTCTGGTGGGTTGTGCTTTATAAGCTGATCATCTGCATTAGAAAACAGAAACAAACACACTGACTGCAACTTCTTCCTCTTAACTTAGGTATCCCTAATCTTACCCTCTTTTCTTGGAATAAAAGGGTAAACAGCTAACTTCTTCAGAAGTTTAATCTTTATCCATAGTTCAATTAAACCCTAAACCAAATGTGAATTAATTAAAAAACATGTTTATCGTTACCAAAAATGACAGAAAAAGTGCCACCTGCAAGCCTAGCAGTCAACATTTGTAGCTGGTCAAAATAGTTATAGCAAAACTGGCTCTCTAAGTAACTCTTTCTGCCTTTGCAGATGCCCAATCCTGCCAGATACTGCAATTGATAGCCGTCGAACAAAACTTTGCAACCAGATACATTGACCTCCCTGAACCTGGCCCCAACAATCAGTACCAGTGCCTGGTGGAATTACAGACATCGCCCCTGGCTGTGTGTCATGGCACTGGTCAGAGGCTGGACAGCGCTCATGCCACCGCGGCTCGTAATGCCCTCTACTACATTAAGATGATGGCTCAAAAACCGCCCGATGCACTCATCGGTAAATCATGATAACTAAGCTTTGAATTTATAATTACAAATATGCGAACTATTAGCATCTTCTTTAAACGTATTCATGGATATAATGCAGATCATTTCCTGTATTATAGCTGCAGCGTTTCTTTATTTATGTCATAATTTTATCTAGATACATCCTTAGAACTTCTTTGAGGTACATATAGTTTGGAGAGATCCTTTCCATGCTTTCTATTTCAATCGTGTATCTTTGGCAAGTATACAAAGTACACCCTCATCAAATAAAAACTGTAAACTCTGATTTGCAAGGTTCTGGTTGGCTGGACAAGTCAGTTTGTCTTTGGTCTTCCATCCTTGAGGTTTGACTAGATTTTAAGCTTTGTCAGCTGCTGAAATGAATGAATGAATGACAATGGATTGGTCTTTGTCTCCTTTGTTTTCATGTGGATTTCTTCTTGTTTGGGTTAGAGAAAGTGGCTTCTTTTTTCAATTTCATATGTCATCTGTATGTTGTTTGTAGAATTTGAATATCAGTTGTCAAAACCCCTTTGTTTATAGATGTAGATACTACTTTTTTAAAAACCTTACTTTTTAAAATGAACTTGTTTCATCTGTTCAGTAGATAATTCAATACCAATGCATGCATGCATTGTTTTACAGTCTGAAGAAGACTAAAAAAAATTTCCAAAAACAATTTTTTATTCTAAGGGGCGGGAGATGCAGCAACAAAGATATTTGCAAATTGAATTCCGACAAGTGAGCAAATCTATTGAACCTCTAAGGCATGCTGTCAAAAATATGTCTTTTTAAGAAGCTAACTTGTTAGATCGTGCTGAGTAGTATGTTATAGATTATTCAAACAAGTGAATTAAAAAGACCTTGATATTTCCTAGCTTGTGTAATAGTATGGTTGTGTATTTGTGTCGTGGTCAAACACAAAACTTCTATTTCAATAGCATTTTGACTGGCAGTTGTTTCTGACCCGCAGTTTAACTGTGCAGTCATTAATTTTAAGACGGCTAAGAAAAACCATCTGTCGTTCTTTATGAGTCCCTTGTTGAATTCTCTTTAGTTCCTACAGATATAAAAGATGAATTTGAGCCACCTTCTCACAAGAACCCAGTCCAGATGCTAAATGAGATGACTGTCACTCCACTGGACTTCAGCATGGTCGACAAGAGTGGACCACCTCATGAGCCAGTTTACGTTATGAGTATCCAGCTAGATGGGCAGATCTTCACTGCAGAGGGTAAGAAAAAAAAAGAAGCCAAAGAAGCAATCGCTCGGAAAGCTCTGCTTACAGTTTTTGGCATCAAGTCACCTGATAATGACGGGCTTCTATATGCCAGGACTCGGCCAACACCGAGTGTTTTATACTCTACTTGGTCTGCCCAGAAGGCTCTCATTTGTGCCAACCTCATCCAAAACCTCATTGAGGCTAAGCTCCGTGAGGTTACCCTCAATGATGGACAGCATAGATACCTGAAGTACAAGGTGCTAGCCGGGATTGTGCAGTCAGACGGTGAAGCTGTGGAAAGCTTGAAAGTTGTCTGCCTAGCAACGGGAACCAAGTGTCCTCTAGCCGAGGAGCCTCACACAAAAGGCACAATCATTCATGATTGTCATGCCGAGGTCATTGCCCGTCGCTGCCTGAAGAGGTACCTTATGGAACAGCTCCTAGAGTACCAAAAGAACCCCAGGTCATCCGTCTTTGATGGTGGCATCAGTGGGATACTGCAGTTAAAGGAAGGAATCCGGTTTCATCTGTATATCAGCTGCCCCCCTTGTGGAGATGCTTCAAGTTTCATCAAAGAGGAGCGCAACATGGGACACAATGATGTCCATCCTGGCAGAGGAGCTAGAGGCATCCTCCGTGCCAAGATCAAGCAGGGAGAGAGCACAATTCCTCTAACTGGCAAAGCCACCGCAGCTCCTGAACGCCTCTTTACAATGACTTGCAGTGACAAGGTAGCCAGCTGGAATGTCCTAGGAATTCAAGGTGCACTTTTGAGCCACCTCATTGCACCAGTGTACCTCTCCAGTGTGGTTTTGGGCATGCAGTACCACCCTGATCACCTCCCAAGAGCCCTGTATGGGCGCCTCACAGACCTCCCAGACTTACCAAGAGGCTACAAGTTGAATAAACCTCTGATGGTGGGCACCAGCAGACCAAGCCAGTGCCCCTTTGGTGCCTCACCGGTTGCTAAAGCACCAAACTTCAGCATCAACTGGATTATTGATTTGGATAATATCGAGGTGATTAAAACTGATAAAGGATTGAAAGAGGATGGCAGCTCATCTCGTGTCTCCCAAGAGAAGCTCTTCTCTACTTACATGGTCATTATGAACAAGTTTCCTTCTAGCAAGGGTCAAACCACTGGAGGTTCCATCAAGCAGTCCCCCCAAAGAGGTAGCAGCTCAAAAAAAGACAAACAGGGCAAAGGGAATGTCTCCAAAGAAAAGCCTCAGCAGAACTTCAAAGTTGGTAACACTTATCGTGAGGTGAAGGAGAAAGCAGAGGCTTATCAAGAATGTAAAAAGATCCTAAAAGCCACATTTCTGTCGGAGGGCCTAGGGCGTTGGCTGGAGAGGCCCAAAGAATGTGACAATTTCAGTATTGTACCTGATCAATGATTACCGGCTAGAGCAATATGCCTACATTCTTGTATGGAGGTACAAGCTTGTTCACAAACTCATGACGCCGAAACTCTTGTTAACATTTATCAGAGGAGGCTGATTTAAAACACACCTCTTGCTGTCACTGAATAACAGACGTATCATATATGTACAATGAACATGTAGTCAGGCAACTCACAAAAGTTTCTCGACTTTAAACCTCAGAGGTGTAGCACACCAGCGATTTATTTCTAGTAATGCTTATCACATAACACGTTTTAAAGAGCTTTTTTGTGGCGAGTGTCATCCTCGTTTGCACTAAATGGTTGATACCTCTGAACAGATAAGAAAAATTTTGGGATTACATTAAATGTATATATCCCCCCCCCACCGCACCTCCCTCAAACTCAAGTCCTCAGCCCTTGGATCCATGCCTCTAAAATTACACCCCGGTAGTTACTAAAATCAGATTTTTAATCTGTGATTTTTAGCAGCGGTATGCCGAGGTCGGCGTAGCCACATTTGGTATTCAAAACGATTATGATAGAGCTTTCGTGTCAACTGCAAAGTTTTCATGCTTCATGAAATGTTTACTTTTAATTATAGGTATTATTAGCAAAACGTATTTTAACAATAATAAACATGTACTTCTGAAATAATGAAGTTATTCTGATGTGACATATAAATAAGGACTATGTTTTACATAATAATAGACGGTACTGTAGTTTGCACTTTGTATCAGATATTTTTAAGCTCATTTCGACAAGCCATGTCCACCTTGATTCGTTTCGAGATAAACTATAAAATGAAAACCAGGTGTTGCTTGTAGGATCGGAATGGCATTTGTGTTCTGTGCTCTGTAGAAATGATGAAGATACCTTTCACATCCATTAGTGAGAATGTTGACCATCTGTTCTAATGGCAGCCTGGGGCACATTAATGGAAACGTTTGAATTCTTTGATCACTTCAAAGAGCAGTCACCATACATTTTGCTGGGATTGGACTTGTTGAATTTGCTTTCATTAATTTCCAACCTCTGACATATTTAAATTGATTGCAGCCGGACCACTTTAGAGTTGGTGGTGCATCTAGGAAGTGTGCCCTGTTATTATCTCAACCCATGACTCGCATCCCTAGTCGTCATTTTGTCGACTTGGATTGTAATGCTATCAGGAATGATGACGTATATATTGTAGCGTTCTTGAAAATACACGGTACATCATGTTCCATCTACCTCAGTGGTTAATGGACCCAAAGCTACTATAGATGGTTCCCAGTTCCCGTTTTAAATGATAACTTTGTACTGACTAACAGTTGAAGATATTCTCTCCCCCCCCCAATAACCGTAAGAGAGTGATCAAAGAGTTGGTAGGTCCCCTTATTTGGGGGCTCTTTAATACATTGCTGTGCACGAATGATTTATTTTTTGTAATTTTTTTATAATCAAAAGTAATACTGAAACCATCGATATTTGTCTTGCCATGTTAGAAGGGATGATGTTGATTTGGTGTCATCTGACAGACTGAATTACATTTTCATGTACCGTTATTTCAAAAGTAAATTATGTACATGTATACCATAATGAATACTGTGTAGTTCTTACATGTATAGCGAAAAAGATAAATCCTCAAGTTGTACAAGGGCCTCTGGCTTGCGAATGTTGTATTGTGTTGCACCTCTCTACGGCTTTGTCAAACTTTTTATATAGTTATTTTTCTTCTTGAAATACTGGTTGTCATTAGTTGCTATGGATTTAACGGAGCCTCTCTGTCAATACGATTTGCAAACTCACGAAGACAAGCGACAAAATCAACACGACAATTATGGATAGGACGATTTCACGCTGTCGCATCTCTTCATTGATTGGTCAGTCAGTTTCATCGTTTTTGGCGTCTTGATTGTTATTGGTTGTTGCTGCGTCGTCATTGGAAACAACGGGCGTGTATGTGAAGGCGCTGTTGTCGTCTGCTTGACGTACGTCTTGTTTATGTTCTAAGGCGCGATACTGGAATAGCGCTGGCGAACTCGGCCTGTCTAGGTCCGACATCTGGAATTTCTGAATTGGACTTGGCAGAAGGTCTGGCTTCTCAAAATGGTCTTCATCCAACAATGTCTTCTCAAACCCAAAGGACATGCTCCGTGGTCTAGCCTCCACCGAGCCCTCTCGGCCATCCTCGACTCCTTCTAGTTGGCTGTCGTCGCTGAGAGACACTTCAGGCTTGCTCAGTTCTGAATTGCCGGCTGCGTCTTGAAGCAAATTGGCTTTTGACAAGATTTCTTCCATATCCCTGTCGCCCTCACTGCTCTCTGATAAAGACGTCTGGTCTACTTCACCGTTTAATTGAGTTTCCTGCTCAAATGCTTTCATCTCCACGCTGTTTTCGCCTTCGCCGACGTCACTCCCAATGCTGCCCTCGTTGGCAAACTCAGACATCTCAATCTCCTCAGGCTCATAGATTTCCAGCTCATCCTCGTCACTGCCTTCGTCTTCAAGCTCGCCGGTCACCCCCTCGGGAGAGTCGATCATGATGACCGGGGTCCCCGAGCCTCTGGCCTGGGACGGCAACGTCTGCTGCAATGCAGTGACTTCCTCTTGGGTCAATTCGGAATCGAAAGACCTGTAACCTCGATAGGTCGCTTCAATCACCTCCTGCTCCTCTGGGAGAATTCCAGGCAGTTTGGCTATGGCTGATTTTGGTTTATAGAAGTCAGGGTCCGATCCCTCTCGCTGTATTTTGCGACTAAGGGTCGGTAGACCGTGCTCAGTAAGGAGTGGTGACTGAGGATCACCGTCTTCTGGTGAGGAGGAATGCGACGAGGAATGACGAGAGGTGCCAGCACCTCCTTCGGCTCCACGCACTGGAACATTTTGCTCTTGGTCTCCATGTTCATCTTGGCCGCCTGTTTGCAATTAAATTAGATAGGCTAATTTGTGAAAGTTGATGAATGTATGCTACTCTTAATTTTGCCCATAGAGCATCAAGATCTCTAGTGAATTTAAACGCCCGCGTCCGCGTCAGCTTCATGACGACAACAATCAACATCCTCATCACCTCACTATCACCATTCTAACCTCACCTTCTGTTGAGGTGAATAGGTCATCCTCTTCATCACTGTTTCTCCCAGGCTCCGTCTCGCTCTCAGCTCCAACCCCAGCGCTTCTCTCCTGCAGCGACGGCGATGCCTCTATCTGCAGCTGCCTGCTGTGGTGGATGTCTTCAGAGATCCTCTCCAGGTTTCGGAGAGCCTCGCGATACCGCTTCTTGCACTTGGCCAAGAGCTTCTGGCGATTCTCTACCGACTCTTTGAGGTTCTCTAGACGGGAATAGAAGGCATCCCTGAGATCGTAGTAAGCTCTGCAGGAGAGATTAAAGACCTCTAGCGCGTTAATGAAGAATGTACAGTTAGGCTGTGCGTATCTGTCCGTCAGTTTACTTGATTTAATTTTCATCCACCATCAATCAGGATAGACATAAATGGATGAGCCTCTCTTTGTTCTGTGTGACCGTGTTCCATTTTTCTCTCGGTATTGGCGTGAAATTTTGGAAACTATTTTCTCAAAAAATCATTTCGTAATTAATTCCATCAATCAATCCAATCAAGGCAATAATTAATCAATTCAGTCTCTGAATTTACAATGTACTTTTGCTTTTTTTGTTCCCGGGAGACCTCGTGTCTCACATGCTGATTTCATCACCAGCTCTACTCACGCTGATTTGGCGATGCTCTTCCGTAACTTCTTGGCGAGCTGTTCAACCTTAGCTAGAGATTTGACGTAGGCCTTGGATAATTGCTGGTGTTCCTTCTGACCTCCCACCTTCTCCTGTTCAGCCATGTTCAACTGCAGTAACAAGACCAATTAACCAGTTTAGGATGTCAGAAATACCCAATGTCACTTGGGAACAAAGCACGCCCTTGGATCTGTGTTCGGGGCTGCGCTGATAGGGCAGACCTCCGAGGCGTTTCATTTTGGGCATGCGCTGTTGGAATACCAAGCTGGTCTGTTCGTCTCGTTCCTTATGCATCATTCAGTCATTTTCGCTCTCTTCTCAAACCCCAGCGCTAGCTCACCTTGACCGTAGCGTGGTTCAACATCTCCTGCAGCGCCGAATCAAATTCTCGTTTCTTGTTGCCTTGCATGGATGTTTCCTCCGCAATAGTGATGGTTTCTTTCGCTGCCCTAACCATCCCCACGGCCCGCTGGTAGGCGTACGCTGCCTCTTGCACCTTCTCGTGGGCCTTGGTGTCAGAAAATAATGGGTAAGTATTTGAATTCTGGCTTCCCATGATAGTGTTACAAGACTCTGTATACAAACTTGCTAATAAAAGATTCGAACAGTGTGATGTGCGTATGCTAATCACAACGCCTTCATAGGCAAACTTTGCACTTCTCTTCACAAGTGTTTAGAATTTCTGGTCAAAAAGTTACCTCATACTTTTTCCAGCTGCAACTGTTATAACTTTTTGGAAAGCTGGTCTTCAACTGTCTACTTGCAAATTAACCTTCCCCAAAGCAAATACGATTCTGACATCCGCCTCATAGACCTGGAGCGTTTTTGCCAGCATAATGCCTACATGCATTCAGGCACCAGCAGGCATAATCCACCCGATAGAGATTCTACACCATCTGAAATTAACTCGGCAGTTTTTTGTAATTTTAAATTTATTGTTAGTGCGAGTGTAATGTGACCAAGTCGTCATTACCCTCTTGGCCTTGAGTCGAGCCTCGTGGTATGGCTTGGCTTTCTTGACTGACTTGCCGCATCGCTTGGCCGCGTCGTTCAGCTTATGGGAGGACTCAGTAAGAGTGATGCGAAATTGTTGCCTCGCATCCTGGATTCACAAAGGAGAATCTCGTAAATTAATCCGAGTAAAAGTATGAGTCATTACACTTGAGTACCGGCGCGCACTTTTGCAACATCTTCTTAGTCGAACAGGATGTAACGCGTGCGCACCAGCTGCACGTGGGCGTGGTGTCACCGCAGTGGCTTCGAGTTCCAGCAGTGCATGCCGAAAATGAAGGCGGCGCTATTTCGGTCCGATTTTTGCACTGTTAGGGGCGCGTATTTGGTGTAGTGCAACCTGTAGGAACGCGCACGCTGTCCATGGAGTCGAGTATAACGTCTTCCCAAGGCTGCGCGGCCGTACGTGTAGATTGTTCTCGATTGGCCTTTCCTTTTTAAATTATGGAACGCCAAAGAGGCAAAAACTTGGAGGCAACACATCGATCGTTCGTCAACATCGAGTGATAGACTCACTCCCCATACCGAACTTGCACGTTCTGGTTGCCGAGTTAGTCTGTAGCAGGTCGTGATTTACCAAAAGTGTAATTCGGAGCAAACTGGGGATGCTTTTAAAACCCTCCTACGCTATTAGATAGATATGTTCCTGCAGTTCTTTCCATTGTTGATTGTTATGTTTTCTTGGTTATATTATCCATGTTCATCGCCAATTCTGTGGCATTCGTGAAGGAAACGCGCTTATCAAAATATCAGCTTCTGAAATTGTAGAGTGACCCTTTCTATTGGATACAAATTATACCAATATACTTGCACCTAGGTTCTATTAAATCCAGGCCACTTCCCTCCCTATTTCTTTTTAACCACACCAATTTAGAGTTTGACAGAATACTGGACGAAAGATGTACCAAGTTCTCAATCAACTCACATCAAGTTCTTTCTCCAAGCGATTGATTTCCTCCGACGTGCTGTTCAGCTTGTCTAGTTCACCCTGGTTTCATAAATGTAAAAATAAACACATGCATGAAGTTTACAATGAATATGCTGTCCTCATCCAAATCAGATATATCTTTGTCTCCATGTTTCTTCCATTTTCAATTTCTCAAACTCGGTTGTCATTTGAAGTTCATTCTTTCTCATGCAAAAATGGTCTGAAGTATAGACTAATCTGACGACCAGAGTTAGAAGCCATTACTGGGGGGCATCCTGTTCACATACAGATGGCACGCGCGCGTTAAATTTCTGTCAGACCGATAGGAATAGCTTAATTATTATTATCTTTCTATCTGGTCATGACTTGTCAAAATGCGCTCATTCGCTCAAAATAAAACCTGTGCGTGAGTGTGGTGGCGCACCCAGAAGGAATGGCGTCTCTTCAGATTTATCTACATACAAGTGTTCACGATTTGCCCAATTTCCTTTGCTTGCACGAGCGCTGGGCGTGCAAAGGGCAGTAAGCCAATTTTGGTATTTCAAAAGCAAGGTCATTCGGGAACAAGGCATGCGCGCGAGTGGCTTGTGCAGGGCTTTGCTGATGGGGCAGACCTCGCACGTCCGAATGACCTTGGACGCACTTCATTTGGGCAGGCGCTATTCGAATACCGATCTGGCTAATTGTTTTCGGTGCTAAAGTCATCACAGGCACAATCATATATCACACCGTGAAGCATGCAGGATATTTTACTTGGGCTGTAGTAACTTTGACCTTGTCAGAAACTAAACACCACCGAATGGCATCGGAAATTACCGTCTAGATTATTTTCACATTACTCTGTCAATGGTCTCGTGAGTTGTGTGTACCAATGCATTGACAGAAGTAACACAGCATAACATATCGAGTTCAAAAGTGAGAAAACTGTGATTTGTGAAAACTATGCTTTATAAAGTTCCATTATTTTCAAAGGGAACAATGAGTTGCACATTCTTCACCAAAAAAATATATTTGGGGGGAAGGAAGAACTTGTTAACAATTAGTTTAGAAGTAGCAGTCTGTAACGTGGCATACAGTTTGGAATTTCGGACGGTTGCAAACAAGTTGGAATAAGTTTCCAGAGATCTGAGTCGTTTTTGTTTGTTTGACGTGTGGGTTAGGTTAAAACTATACATTTCAGCAGTGCTGCCAAAACTATACATTTCAGCAGTGCTGCCAAAACTATACATTTCAGCAGTGCTGCCGAAACTATACATTTCAGCAGTGCTGCCGAATAAAATTAGCAGCTATTGTTTCGGGGAAAATAATAACAGAGATATAGCCTGGTCGTGTTGTGGTACGTACTACAGAGGTACTTCCCAGGCTATTTCCGTAAGAGTCTTTCCACTACAGTAAGAGACAGGATATGACGAAGTTTCAGATTAATTATATAGCCGATGCCACTTGTCATGGGTGTTAAATGCTTGCAAAACAATGAAATTGTCAGTCTTACTTCGTACTCGTACTAGGATATTATATCAGTGTTGCGTATAATTCAAAGCCGCACAGCGTGTCACAGTAAGGATTTACGACTGATTGTTCTTTCAAGTTCAAAGGTGCCGGTGAATTTAGTTTTCCCCTCGACAGCGAAATGCCAGAAATCTAAGTGAACGGGCCCTTTGAACTGACGCACTGCCTATAGGCCGGGTCTATAAATAGTAGGCCTACTTACACTCTAAACATTATCTTAACATTGAAATGATGAAATGGATATCAGTTTCATACGCAGTAATTTTTCAAGTTGTGCATAAGTAACTACCGTGAATGAAAACCCGATTCTACATGTATGAATCCATTATGTCTTCACAAAGAAAATGATAGGCCTATGTTTTCTGAAGTGAACACATAATGACTCTTAGCATCGGGGGTGGGGCAACACGACAGCCCCCTCCCCCAACTTCGATTGGCTGTTCATCAGGCACTTCACATGAACTGTGAACACAACGGTCCTCAACCCATTAAAACAAGGACGAACCATGCTTTATCAAGCCATTTCGTTGGAGAAAAACCTCTCTGAATATTATTGTAATATTATCCAGTGATGACTGAAACTCACCTTGATTCGAGGATCTAGTCTGGTACCTCCTTGGTCTGGTTCCTCCATCGTTCCGTTCAACGTACGTGAAGTATAGAATGAGCCGGCTTTTTATTACATAAACGCCTAAAGTTCACAGTAATCTCTTCAAATTGACTTGCTCGCCGCTTGCTCGACTGGTGAATTCGGTGTGAAGTTAAGCTGAAAACTTCCTGTGCACATGATAGTTGAGTGTCCTGACTTCGGACGACAAACTTCACTCCTGAACAGTTTTAGGTGCAGCGATACTTTGGAATCTTGCAGGCTCAGCTAAGAATAAGATGAATCAGGCCTACAGCTCCTTAAACTGCAAAACCCGTTATTACTCGGGGTTTCTTCATCGACTAAACCACGTCCGGGTTGACTCGAGCAGAAACCCTGTTTCTGACTCTGTTCACTATCGTAAACACACGGGATATACTGGTAACAAGCAAAGTATCTGCAGGTCGAGAGGGGGCGAAGGTCGCTCCGCGCACTGGCAGCCACGGCACGAATGATCCGCAAAAAAAAAATCAGGGGGCGTATACTTTGCGTCACCACTGCAGGGAAGTACGGGGAAGATATGGAATTGTGCTCAACACTGAACTCCCTGACAGAATTGAGTGTTCGTTGTTGGTACTATGCTGAATATAGCTTTTAATTTTACTTCTGTACAAAGCACTGGCAACGAGGCACACGGTTAGCCTGTATTCAAAGGAAATGTGGAAATTGGCGGTACAACAATCGCAGTACAGCCATCATGATTTTCAAGTTGGGAACTGTCATGACGAAGTTACAAAGCGGAAATTTCATCATCATATTGCCTTAGCGGCTGTACTCGGTGTGCATGGATGATTTCTGTTCAAGGCAATTAAAAGTCCTTGTTAATTTAGAGGGAAAGTTTTGGTGTATTCTTCATTTCAAAACACCAGCTATATATTTACTCATTATTTATGATAACCATCGTGGAAACGCCCCCTTTGTACTAACAAGCCACTTGATCGATTGTCAAGTACCTGTAGGAGCTACTCGAATTCAGTTCTTTGGTTATTTTTTAATAACTTATCGAATGACCTTTGATCAGTGGCATAAGCTTCATTTATTATCATGTTCAGTATACGTTAATGTAGCACTTAAGTATGTCACGGCCAGGCCCGGGCATGGATCGTTCAAAATTGGGGCGGGGCTTGTATTGTAACGCTTGGCATTATTGATTTTTTTTTTTTTTTGACACTAGGTCTATACGGAATTGTGCTAACAGAGTAGTCAAACCATGGAGGAAGGAGGGGCATGGTCAAACTGTCTTCCAAATAGATTTCTACAGTAAATATTTGTTCCTGATGTAACGGAGATAGACAGCAGAACGATTGTGTCCCGGCCCCTTAAAAGTCGGCTACTGTTTTATGTCCGACGTCGCGAGACCGCTAATAATACGTTGCGCCCCCATACGGTTCCTTTTGTCCATGTCAAATCATTTCCTCTTCCGGTGGTCGTGTTGTGGGGAGTGGATCTGGTTTGGATAATCTGAGACTGAAGCCGGAAAAAAAGTGAAAAATTTTCCAGATTCACCGAGTCGATTAGACCTTGAAAAAGAACCGAAGATGATTCTACTGGAAATCAAGAATAAAATACTGGAGGAGACATTATTAGCGAAATTTGAGGCGGCAAAGGCGGGGCAAGTATTCCGCTGGGGTAGCTGCACCAAATTCGTGATAAAAATAATTTTCATCGTTAAAATAATTTGTATAAAATTGAAGATTGAAATAAAAGGAATTGTATTTTCTTTCCTTTTTTACAGGAACAAAGTCGACAGTACAGACATTGTTATTGCAGGTATGAGAAAACTCTTTGCCACATTGGTTCAGCTTATAAACATGTCAGACATCCGACCTCGGGGAATCAGGTTGGCGTAGACCTAGTGGTTCTTTCCTCACCTTCCACCCCGTGTACATCCCTACGTGATTCACGGCCCAGTCCACATGTGGATTGGGTTTTCAGTCCCTGCCTGATTCGGTGGGTTTTACCCAGAATATTCCTTGGGTTTTTCCTCCCACCTCCAAAACTGCTTCTCATTTTACTGTGCCTGAGTCTTCAAATATTGGACGTTGGTGCGTCTCCTGGAGGAAGAAACCCATTAGATATGTTAGAACTTAGTCATGATAGGCATGGTAGGCCTAGTTGGACTTGGCTAATTATCAGATCCATCCCTGTTGCCAAACAGTGTTTGATTTTTTTTTTTTTTGGTTGCATATTTGACAAGGAAGTTCGTTTTCAAGTTGAAATGCACAGTGATTACCAAAAGCTGTTGTATCTTTCTTACAGATTACGATGGTGTAACATACCACATTTCCAACCCTGATGGACAGAAGACCAAAGTGAGGGTTAGCATTTCGCTCAAATTCTACAAGGATCTCCAAAAACACGGAGCAGATGAGGTAAGCTACTTCCAACCCCCTCCCCTCCTCCCACCGTGTCAGCATTGAATCCTTGCATGCATTTATCTTTGTATGAATGTGATATTGCCAAATCTCACTCGCTGTAGTCAAACTAACAAGTTGTCCACGTGTCAAATTGTCTAGTTACTGAAGCGAGAATACGGCTCTCTCATCATTGAAACTGAGGAAGGCTACAACGTCTCCATCCTGTATGATCTTGAGAACCTTCCCAATGACATTGCGGGAGAGGCTGCCAAGGGAGCTCTACTCAAACGCAACTGCTTCGCCTCAGTCTTTGAGAAGTACTTTGACTTCCAGGAACGTGAGGAGACAGGCCAAGAGCGGGCGGTCATCCATTACCGTGAAGACGAGACTATGTGGGTCACCTTCCTTGTCTTCTTTATCCTTTCTACTTCGAAAGCATACTTTGATTTTTTTCCAGAAATCTGCAGAACCATTGAGTAAAATTAACAACTGCGTGACAGTTCTTTTCAAAGTATCTGTATTTGTGCTGAGTGATGCACAGATGGCTTCCTGAAGTAATTCATCTCATCTTACAACTTGATTTTCCTTCTTTTTTTTTAATCCCCCAGGTACGTTTCAGCTGAGAAGGATCGTGTCACGGTGGTCTTTAGCACTGTGTTCAAGGATGACGATGACGTCATCTTTGGCAAAGTCTTTATGCAGGTTGGCTGGTGCCTTGTAATGTCAGTGAAAGTCTCCACTATCAAATGTATTATGTCTAGCACACTTTTCGTCAACTTTTTGTAAACAAAACACGTTGAGTGAAATAAGACTAGAATCTGTGAGCTGTAAATTAGACCATTCCAGTGCTCTACCAACGAAATGATCTGGTCCTATCTTTGCTGTCTATGTTCTTGAATATTATGTGACCAATATGGATCCTACAGTGTCTGGTAAAAACAGAAGAATTTTCTCCTGGATTTTTGGAATTCCCTCAGATTATCCGCTCCGACCGGAAACAAAAGAGGGTGAGGTTTTAAACGAAATTGACAGACCTTTGGTACAAACTCACCATATAGGCTCACAAGGTTATGTGCATTGGATGGTGGGCATGCTAAGTACGTACAACAGATTTATTCTGATAATGGGTGGTCTTTGCGTGCACACTGAACACCTGCAAGAACCCAGTTGGAAAACTTCGTACCAGTCTGTCTTTCTTTGGCCAGTGAGGGTGCACTTAAACTCCGGGCGGATAAAGTGATTTCCATTGCCGAATCTGATCATGGTCATTGATAAGCCACCCTTGTCTGTTGTCTTGCAGGAGTTCAAGGAGGGGCGAAGGGCGAGCCAGACTGCCCCTCAGGTCCTCTTCAGCCACAAGGAACCTCCTATGGAGCTGCAGGGCACTGATGCGGCAACAGGAGACAATATCGGATACATTACGTTTGGTAAGTCCTGAGGGTCATATAGAGAAAGAAATTGGACAGAATAAAAAAAAAACCACCCAAAAAACTATTGTGTGAATGGTTCCGCCGTAATTCTCAAGAAAAGAGTTTCAAAAGACGATTTAGGAAGAGAGAACCCCGAGGACCTTTGCTTTCTTAGATGGATGGAATACTTTCACCTCTGATTTCCTCCTTGGGGTGCAGAAATGAGCGATGAGTTATTAGTTCCATGCATAACGGACGAGGGCGCTCCATAGCTGTTTGTGTTTGTTTCCAACGGTCTACTGAAGTGATGAAATCAACCATTTGTTTTGCTTTTCCTCAGTCTTGGAGCCCCGTCACACTAACCGTAAGGCCCGTGACAACACCATCAATCTGATCCATCTCTTCCGGGATTACCTGCACTACCACATCAAGTGCTCCAAGGTAACATCTGGCAAAGAGCGCCCCCAATGGCTTGCATATAAATGATAGCAGATGTTAGACGAATATTGTCCACCATGTGACAGTGTGTTAAGCTGCGATGCTCAAATTTCCAATGTGCTTGTTCCTAACAGGCCTACATCCACACTCGCATGCGAGCACGCACTGCAGAATTCCTGAAAGTCCTCAACAGGGCCCGGCCTGAGAACTCCAACAAGGAGAAGAAAACAATAAGGTAGACATTGTACTACTATGATGTCACAAATGAGCATTCTCATTGGGTCAGGGGGAAATCACATGACCACGCTGAAACAGCCAAGAAAAGACGGGATTTAGTTTTCATTCCTGAACATTTGCAAGAACAGTTCTCTACCAGCTTCATCGTCACAAAATAAATTCTGAATCCATTGCGTATGTCTTATCCTTGCATCAATAGAAGATGTATTTTCTGATACCCCTCTTTGCCCTCAAGTGCATTTTAGATTAAAGAACTCTGATAAATTGTCAGCGACTGTCGTCATTTTGCACTTATGTTTTTCCTCTCTTGTATTCCACAGTGGAAAGACCTTCATCCGCAGTTAAATGCCAGTTGTGAAGAAGACGTATATCACGGATATCCTTTTCTTCCAGAGCTTATAAAATACACACAAATAAACTAACTGTGCAACTTTTCCAAACAAGAGAAATGGAAGAAAGGAAAGCATACTTTCACTGACCTTTGCTTTCCATTTCCTGTGTATATATAGTGCATTTTCATATGGGAAATGGCGGAAAAAAATTGTCTGCTGATTTTACTTTTATGTTTTGGGGGTTTGAAAGTTCTAAAGTGCATTCCTCAGATGCAAGAAAACAGAACAGGATTTATCAGTTTGAATTTTTGTAAAGAAAAAAAATCGCTTTTGCTCACTGAGCATTATTAAACTCAGAGTAAGTGGAATGCACCAATGGTTTTTTTTCACACTGAAGTTTTGCTTTTCTCAGAGCTGTGAAACATTTTAAAATTGTCCGTTTGGATTCGACATAGTGTGTGAAGGTCAATGAATAATGTAAACATCAATTGATTTGATTGGCCTTGGTCAGTCACGGTTATAAGCTCTCTCAATTCCCTCAGTAAGGCCACGTCAATATTACTCTGCTTTGGCTAGGACTTACACGTACACCTATGGTTGCGATGGAAGCCGTTTCCCATGAACATATGTGATTCTGTCAGCCACAGCCCGTTGATTCATACTAAAGCTAACTACATGTGTGGCCAGTAGTTTAGATTGACAACCTGTAGAGACCAGTGCCTCCAATTAAAGACGTGCATTTGCAGAAAGCTCATCAAAGACTACTGGTCATGTAAGGCAGTGAACACTCCTTGTTTTTCAACAGATGCAGAGGATCTTGTTTTCAGCAATCAAAACATGACAGACAGCCATTTGAAAGGTTGAAACTATGTTCACTTTTGGCAGAAGCTTCTTTGGGGAAACTGTGAAACTGTTCGATAAATGTTTGCAAACGTTTCCCCCACATGAACATTTCCAAGCCACATACAGAAGCATTTATAAGTCGTAGTCAGTGGTCTTTTTGTAATCATTTAGAAATGTAATCGTTTCTAGAATGTTGTAATGTCAGTCTGGTTATTTTACCAAAGTAGACTTCATTTCAGGAGTAAATCTGTGGCAGAAAAGTAGATAATATGAGGTTGGAGGAATCTCCTAGTTTCTCAATGTGTCGAATTCTCGTGACCATTTGCTGTGGTATTATATTTATGATTTGTGTGCGTAATGTCCTATCTTCAATTTGTGGTCTCATGAAATTTCTGGATGATTTCTATGCATGCACAATAACAGCTTGCCTATCAGATTTGAAACATAACTGGGCCAAAATTGACCTCCAAATACAGAGTTTGCCTTATTTATTTCTTTTTCAAAAGCTTCTAGCCACGTGGAGATAAAATGCCATTCTTAGGCTACAAAGTAGTTGCAGCAAACCAAAATACAGACCTTTACTGACAAATTTACACAATGATAAAGTTGGATATCGTAACAAAGTTTCTAGAACTTGTGGAAGATGTTTGATTTAATTTTATAAATACTCTAAAGTTTAATTGGGTAGCACCCTTCATCAACCAAGCTCTTCAGTTATAAGCTGGAAGTTGAATTTATTCTACAATGCCATCAAAAATACTTAAGGTGCAGGCCGGAAGTCTACATTATTTTTTCACATCATGTTGTAAAATTTTTAGCTGTTATCTCCAAATTTGTCTTTGCAGGAGATAGTTGCCAGCATACACCATTAGAGTTGGTATCAAAAGTAACAGTTGTCAAGTAGCCATTTTCTGATTATTCTGTTAATGTATAATTTCAATTCTCTAACAAGACCAAATCTTTTGCTTGTTAATTTTTTTTAGATATGGGTATTTTTGATGAGTTAAAAAACACCTGATCTTTCTTCAGTAAATATGGTTGTCAGCTATGTATACTGGGTCAGGTGTAGGGTTAATTTACAGGGCAAAATTATGCAAAATAACAATGTTGGTGATGATAATAACTATCGTATGACTCTAGATTTCTATCATCGACAATTAAAACATCTTAGCCAAGAAAACTTTCTTGTTTGGGGGAGTTTATTTATGTAATTTTTTTGCTTGTTTTTTCTTATGCATTTTTAATACATGTAGCGTTGAAATGTGGGTCAATTTATGTTGTATTAGTTTATCTGAAGTTGGTAATGTTACCCACACACCAGTTAGTCCGACTGTTTGAGCAGGAAATTTCAAAAATTAGAAAAGTGCATTCCCCGTCTTTTATAGAACACACGCTGGTCATTTTCAAGCCCTCTTCCTACCCAGATCCGTGCCCCGCCCCATCGATTCCCGGTGTCGCGTCCCGTCTCCGTGTGGCGCGCAGACAGCGCCACCATGATGAGCTCGCAGAAAGTTGTACGTGCAAAAAGAGTTGAATGTGCGTATCATGGGCCGTTTTCCAAAACTCAACTTCGGCGTCGTCTGAGGCTTCAAGGTCAACTGTTTTTTAACTAGCTGACGTTGAAGCTGTAAGCGCAGCAATTAGTTTAATAGTGCCACAAAACATCAAATAAGATGCAAGAGAGCCAGAAATTACAGTAATCTAATTTAATTTAAACGCTTCAGGTCCACAATCGGGGATTGGTTTTGGGAACGAAGCCTCCGACGGAACCCAAGTCGAGTAGGGGCCATGGTGCGATATGATGCATGTGATCACGTGTTCACGGTGTGTTCGCCGCGCTATACGATCTTTGGTGTGATCTCAGGTCAGGCTCGAATTTATGTACTCATTATGGTGTTCCATGTGTGCCATCCCGAGTCGCATTTTTCAACCGGCGTCGCATTTTTCAACCGGCGTCGCATTTTTCAACTTGCGTCGCCTTTCAATGTGAATAAGCCATTAATCATCAATGGTCAACCTTGGTCAAGCCGGACCTGACGTTGTTGACTTGGATGCTAAAAGTGTGCGTACATATTTTTAATGGTTATGGAAACGGCTAAATTAGCATGTATGCGTCCATTAACGGTATGTAAATAAGTTAACAACCCTTTAATGAACCCGATTACTCGTGGAAATTCACCCCGCTCAATTTGGTTTCTCACTTCTGCAAGCTTTTTGAGTAAAAAATGTCCCCGTACTGATGATTACTAGTTGCCACAAAAATCAAACCCAGTATAGTAGGCCTATTGTTCACTCTGGTTGGTATGGCATTTGCCATCTTGCAGACATGCTTCCCGAGGGAGCGTTTATCGCAGTACAGTCTATAATTTAAAATGTAACTACTCTTGGCGAAGAAATGTCAGGCACCATAGCTTTGAGAAATTTTACTTTTCCTTGATTAAAAGAAGTTGTCAGCAATACAAATCTCGAAAAGTTTTCCGAAAACACCTTTTGAACCATTAAAATCTGTCCAGAGGAAGCCAAGACTGATCTTATTTTTTTCATTACAGTAGAAAGGTATTTCACACATTGGAAGTTGTTCAGGCAATGGTCCGTGGTTCAGGCATTCCCCCGGTGGAGGCCGTCTGGTCATGGGCTTGAGATCATTTATCTTTCTTTGTTGGGGGAGACTTGTTTATTACTCAACGAAATGACTTCCCAAGGTCTTGAGGACTGCATGTGAATTTTGGTTTGAAAAGTGTCACTGTTTGAAAGGCTGTTTCGATGTAGCTGCTGGTTCTTGATCGACCCTGGGGTTACACGTACATATACATGCGTTTCTGTCTAATTTCTTTTTTTCTGTGACAGATGTTGCCCGGAACGTGTGAGAATCTCCACAACAGATAACTCCATTCTTTATTAGACTGTTTTTTTCAGTGTTTATAATAAGCTGGCGGTACCAGTGATGGACGAGATCCTGGCCTCCATAGGTCTTTCTGATGAAGTAATGAAAAATGCGACGCCCGGGCGAAAAATGCGACGCCAGTTAACAAATGCGACGCCGGTCGAAAAATGCGACGCCCGTCGAAAAATGCGACGCCCGTCGAAAAATGCGACGCCCGTCGAAAAATGCGATTAGATGGCACATATGGAACACCATAATTCACGCATAGTCATGATCAAATGATGGTCAAACCATGGTCAAACCGTGGTCAAACAGATCTACTTTAACTTCAAAGAATTTTTGAATAAACGTAGGTTTTGCTTTATTCTGCATTGCCTGCAGACAAGGAGTTGTCCCCGGATAGACTTTGAGGTAGGGATCAAAATAGGCCTAGATTACATGTTTTCCCTTGCAGTAACGTCCGTGACCGTATCGTCATGATCGTACCACCTCCATGATCGTATACACGGTATTGTCGCCTGGTCCCTAACTTAGTCGATCGGTTTTCAGAGTGGCTTGAGTATTATTACTATTATTTAGTGGACAAACGAGGGACGTGGGCATGACCAGTGGACGTTACTCATTAGGGCCTTGGCCTATAATATTAGCCATCAGAAAAATGCTGAGATTTTCTAATGAAAGTCAAATTTAGCAGTGAAAAAAATACTTTGGTTACCATGGTAATACCATGTAATGCATGTACTACGCCGCAGAATTTTTAAAACCCAGTCTTATGCACAAACCATGGGCATGATGGGGTTTGTGCATAGGGTGAATAATTAATAAGTGATGTTAAGATATGGAACTCTTTCCCAGCAGACATGGCAGAATAGTAGGCCTTGAGGTGGCATGAGTACTATATTTGTAGCCATTTTGACCTGGCAACCGTGCATTCTGTCACCACTGGTCATTTTATGTTTAGCTTAGAGCTGCAGATGGCTGACCAGAAGAACGAGGCATTGTTGGAAGATGCTCAGTCTGCAGCGTCATCCCCAAACCATGCAGTGGTAGAGGATATTAACTTACGTGCAGTGGAAGGGAAAGGGCCTGACAGAATGGAAAGGGCAGGTGTCCAAGGTGACGAAGAGAGACAATCCAGTGATGTTGGAGGCGATACGACTGTAGCAGTACCCGACAATCATGACAATGATGCCTCCTCCCAACCGCAAGGTGATTATTATCTCTGAGCATGAGCGACTGAGGGCGCTATTTAACCCCTTCATGTTAAGTGATAGCACAGTATTCATGAACTCTGATACACCATTACAGTGTGTGCCTGCAGCACAGTGATTGTATTGAGCCTTTTAGCTCTTTAATATAATCCTTAGTTTCATGTAGTGATTTCTAGCTTCACTTTTTCACAAAAATTCTGCCTTCCTCTGGGTTCGCATTTTTCCATGAATTTTGGTTTGTTTCAGGTCGTTACAGAACATTTGCTGCTTGGATCACCTCCAATGCATTTCTCATTTATTGCAGTCAGTTTTTCTCTGCTTGGGTAAGTTTTGTTCATCTTATACTTACATGTTTATGTTAATGCAGACAAAGCGGGAAGGCGGGAGTTGAACATGGCTTGCCTTCACTAAGCAAATTTTTTTTTCATGAAGTTTTCTTTTCCACATTTGTCTTAGGTGCTCTCGGTTTTGCTAGATTTTGCCACAACATGCTCCCTTTCATTCAGCAATGTTCTTCTCTTTGGCTGTGTTTTAAGGAGAGTGGTAGCAGAAGAAACTCTTTGGGGATCTTTGTCAGTGGTTGTGAGGTCAACAGTAAATTTCCGTTCTTCTGTCAAGCAACATCTCAGCATTGTGTTCATGTGTGTCTGTAGGGTGATCGTATGTGGACTTTTGCTGTTGCCCTGTACCTTGTTGAAATTGAAGAGAAGTCACTTCGCCTTACTGCCATCTTTGGTTTTGCCTTGACTGTATCAGTCCTTCTGTTCGGTGCACTTGTGGGACAATGGGTGGACAAAACTCCTCGTTTAAGCGGTAAGCTCTTTCGTTCATGTTTTTTTATGAATAAGTAAATCTTACATGATTCTATTGAACTGAATGGAATGAAGTCCACTCAAGTCAGGTCAAGTCATGTCAGGTTGAGCTGAACTTAGCTGAGTCAAGTGATGCCAAGCTGAGCTTAGTCAAGCCAAACAGTGGTGAGCCAGGCTGTGCTGAACCAAGTGTACCAAGCCGCTGCAGTACACAACAGGAGTCTATTGTCAATCTGAATCATGACTACTTCGCAGAGCCTAGTGATCCAGAACTCAGGTGTCATCATCAATGCCATCTTCCTGCTTCTCCTGCTGCACTACAAAAAAACAGTGGGGAAGATTTCAAATCCAGCTTCAGGCACTCACATTTGTCTATTAAACTAGGAATCCATATTCATTTGGAATTGCAGCTGCCCGGAAGAGCCTAGTGATCCAGAACTCCGGTGTCATCATCAACGCCGTCTGCTTGCTGCTCCTGCTGCATTACAAGTCAGCCATCCTGGCAGTCGGAAGTGGCGCTCTATTCTTCTTCTGTCAGGTGATCATCATCGTCCTGGGCGTTGTGGCTAACCTGGCCAGCGTGGCCGAGAAGATCTGCATCCAGAAGGACTGGGTAGTTATTCTAGCTGGTGATGACAGCGAGCGGCTAGCAGGTAAGATGACCTTGCTAACCTCAGGACCCACTGATAACCAACAAAAGTCCTGTAGCTCAGCTGGGGTATATTATGCTTAGCAGGTGTCCTACACTCACACTTTTCAGGCTCATAAATCAATAATTAAAACCTTTTTTCAGGAATTCTTCAGAGCATACTCTGACTGAATTTTACCTAAGCTTTAATTGGTTAAAAATGCCATCCATGAAATTATTTCTGACATCTCCTCAACTTAACAAGCTAAACGCATCCCTGGACTATTTAATAAAAGGTATTGACTTTGTCTATCAAATTGAAAGGAAAGTTGTACCAGGTGGAGCAGGCAACTTGTTGATCCCTGTTAGCTTGCTTATGGACGTACCTTTTCATTTGCTGGCATTCAAGTTGTTTAACCCTCCTATGCTG